GATGGAGTCTTTGATGCACGCTTTAACCGTTTCATTACTGTTAGGGAAGGTTGGTTGGTCTCTAATGTTTAGTGTTGGGTGTTGTTTGATGTCTAATTGTGGGTTTTATAATCAAGATTTACATGTTAACTGATTTCGCTCGAGTTTTTAGATGGTCGCTTGGACAGATCAAACCCAATTACAACCATAGTGGAGGTCAATCTAAGTGGAGAGACACTTGAAGGTAAATTATATATCAAACTTTAACGAATGAAGTATCATTACTTGCATTAAAAGTGTTTACAGAGGAATGTGATATATGTTTAGCGGGGAATGCAGTTATTCCAACTTTTTGTTGGTTAATACAGCTGATTATTGACACTCACATAGGTTCTTTCTGATATTCATGATCCAGAACCAAAAGTACTCGTGAGTGGCAATGATTTCTATGCATTTCCACGCTTGGACCCCAAGTGTGAGCGACTGGCATGGATTGAATGGAGTCACCCTAATATGCCTTGGGATAAAGCAGAGCTGTGGGTTGGGTACATTTCTGAGGGCGGGTAAGCATGTGCTAGTCTTATTAAAATGCAATGCATATCGCGATTAATTCATAATTCTTAATATTGAGAGAGTATTATCGAGGATCTTGAACTCTGATTTCCATGCTTTATTATTTCTTATTGTTTCCCACTTGCATTGGTTTAATCAGATTTACATATTTTGCAGAAATATCGATAAACGTGTATGTGTGGCCGGTTGTGATCCCAAATATGTGGAATCACCCACTGAGCCAAAGTGGTCATCAAGAGGTATTTTTCTGAGATAAAATATATTCATAAAACTACTCGACTCAGTTACAATGATTGTGAAATCTCTGAGGAAAAAGATTGATCTGCAATTTCTAGGCATGGACCTTTTCATTTTTGACTTTCTATTTGTTACTCGCTTTAGCAGTTGATACTTTCTCATAAGTTTTAGCCGTTTTAGTCGAAACTAGCGTCTTCTACAAATATTTTTCTCTAAGCTCATTTGTTGTTTCCACCCTTTACAATTTCCTTTCTTCTTCTAACCAAGTGACAAGGATTGTGAATTCTATTGGGGAAAGGTTGATCTACCATATCCTTGCATGTGCTTTGGATTTCCGATCTTTACTATTTTTAGCAGTTAACCACTCTGTGCACGTATCAGTTAAAACTAGAGTCTTTCAATGGATGTGATCATGATCGTGAATCAGTTATATTCCTCATATCGTAGTTAACTCTGTCAATTTTCATAGTGCCATTGACCTGAGACTTTCTGACTTTATTATGCAGGGGAACTCTTTTTTGTAACTGACAGAGAGAACGGATTTTGGAATATTCATAAATGGGTAAAAAACCTTTGCACTCGCCAGTTATAGTTACATTTGTTTTCTAGTCTGCCTTTGCATGTGTAATGCTGAGAACTTGTTTTAGGTTTGAAATAGAGGTAGTTTTCAAGCAGTAATGAAAGTATGGAGGAAATTTGTCCCTGGCTAAAGTTGACTAGCAGGACTCTAAAATTTGATTTTTTATCCTCGAAATACTTCAGGAATTT